TTCCTGTGGTTCCGCTCCAGCCCCGAGGCCTCGAGGAGGAAGGGCCTGTGAATTGGGGTCGCGGTGTGAAGAGCGCGCGGTGCTCTGCGGGGCCGGTGGGAGAGCTGTGCGGCCGCCGCATCCTGCTTTTCCCCGCAGGTGGGCACCAACCTGACCGACATCGTGGCCCCCAGAAGGATCACCATCCGGGAGCTGGGCGGGTGCATGGGCCCCATCTGGCCCAGTTACTATGGAAACTGCCGCTCCCTCCTGGTGGGTCCCGTCTTTGAACTCTTCCAGGGAAGTGTGTCCCCGACCTGACTTGGGGGCGGGGGGGCGGATTTGGCTTTCTGAGCGACTGTGCGAGTGGAGGGGACAGGGCCCACGCTGCTGTGCCCTCTGGGAACTCGGCCTGAGCCTGGTGGTCCCGCCGGCAGCTCGTGTCAAAGCTGGGGGGTGTTCTTGCTCTGCACAGCCCTCCCCGCAGCCTCTGTTTCAGTCATTCTCGCCTCAAAGCCAGGTCTGTGGTGCCCGGGGGAGGAGATTGAGCAGGGCTCCTCCATCACAGTGGCCCTGAGCTTTTCCCTTCTTCCCAGTTCATGATCGATGCCTCCAACCCCACCCAGCTCTCCGCAGCCTGCGCGCAGCTTCTGGGCCTGCTCTCTGCAGAACCGCTGGCAGAAGCACAGGTCCTGATCCTCTTCAATAAAACGTACGGGTCCGCGAGCCGAGAGGGAGCTCAGAGGGTTCCCGGAGAAGGGGTCCCTTGGAATGTAGCCGGGGGTGGCCCCTTAGGGAGGGGTGCCGTGGGGGTTGGGGTGGGCTTGCGGGGCCCACTTTGACAAGGCGCCCCTTTCGCTCCAGTGACCTGCCCTGTTACATGACCGTAGAGGAGATGAAGTCGTTAATCAGGCTCCCAGACATCACTGCTTGTGCCAAGCAGAACATCACCGTGGCAGACATCAGTGCCCGCACGGGCACGGGCTTGACCGAGGTGCTGCGCTGGCTCCAGGACACCCACGGAGCCGGCTGATGACTACTGGGTGGGGGCGTGGCTGGACCGCTCTGTGGGGAGGAGGCGGAGGTTTGTTCTTAGGCAGATAGGTACCCGGCGTAAACGGAGAAGACCGGCTTCAGTGCCTAGTTGCAGTGATGGGTAAACTGAGGCACCCAGGGTGGAAGTCCCGACAGCCCACGTTGGAATGAAGATTGCCCACGGCTAGGAGAGCAGCACCGGCCTGCAGACCTCAGCACCCGGGGCGGCATGCAGGCAGGGCTCCGGCAGGCAGGGAGGTCAGCAGGGAGAGGTCGGGTGGAGCGCAGGTGCCGCTGAGCTCATGGTCACATCTGCGAAGACCCTTTCTCCAAGTTCACGTTGGCACGTCCTGGGGGCCTGCTCGAACGTACCTTTTGGGCCACTGTTCAGCCTCCTGTGATTGGTAAGGAGCTGTCTGCCCAAGTGCGGTGACGCCTTAGGTTTTGCAGTGCTTCCGGCTCTTCCCTGCGCATGGCCCGTGCCGCTGCTGGGCGCCACCTCCCCAGACACCACCGAGCAGCCTGGACGCGGGCCATCTCCACTCCTCATTGGGGTCCTCGTAGATTTCACAGGCAACTTGAGACCCAAAGGGCTTTCAGACACCCCCCAGTTTCAGAGGACTTGAGCAAAGGCTGGTGAAAAGCGTGAAGTGTTAGAAGACTCTGGGCTGTCAGTCAGTTCTTCAGCTGAGAGAGTGCGACTCGCAGGGGGCAGCACCAGGTGGGCTCTAGGGCCTGCAGGGCAGCAGCGGGCAGGAAGCTCGCCCTTTCACTGTAAAATCGGAATTATGTAAACGCGTTCTCTGTGCCCCAAAAATGAATTAAAACAGCAAAGCAAAAATGACAACTTAAAGCCTGAAAACACAAAAGATCTTAACTGTGTATCAAATTGTGCCACAACCAGAGAAAAGAACCTCTGAAGGCGACACTCCAACACCATCGGCCTGTCCAGTTGGATGAGAACAAAAACTGACATCTTAACTCTCGTTCTGTCCATTTACCTTAGTGCTGTTCATGTTGGAGCTGTTTTATGTTTATTGGAGGATGAAGTACACCTGCGAAACATTTTCAGTGTAAAAGATACAAAGACAAGTAAAACTTAAAATATTAAAATTTAATAGTAAATATCTATAAACTCAGAACTTTAAAGTTACATAATATACATTTTAAAAAGCACATTCCTAAGGCCTGTCTGCAAAAATGGTCTAGAAACGACATCTCAGCATCCGCATTCCTAGAACCCAGACGTCGGTCTCTAAGTACCACCCCCACCAGAGGGAACAGTGGTCTCCGACAGAAACCCTCCTACCACAGGCAGGGAGAGGGCGCCTTGCACCCAAGCTGGAAGCCCAGGCCAGGCCAGTGTTGAAAGCTACCAGGTCTCTGGAGGACTGACAGCTGCCATGAGGCTCCAGTGAGAAAGGCTCCCTACTGCCACGCCCCTTGGGGCGGTCCTGTCATTGGGCTCCACATCAGAACCAAGGCCTGGACGGACTCCAGCTGCCTCGTTGGGGACTAAACTGGCACCGGGAGCCAGTGGTGTAGATGCCGACCACCCCTCGTGGTCCTGCCCCCATCCCCCTGCACTGGCGAACCCCGGAGCCTGTGATGGATTTGGTTGACCCGAGTCCACAGCATCTACAGTCACTTGGCACCTGGGGTTGGGATTATGGGTTATGGGGTTGGCCCGCGGTTGTCTCAGCCTGGACCTGTGTGTGCAGAACAGCTGAGGGAGAGGCTAGGCTCGGGAACGGTGCCGGGTGTGACTGGCTGGGGCTCAACCAGGCACTGGCCCCTTCTATGGGAGCTCGGCACAGGTCACATCCCCTGGGACAAGGGCCTGGCAGATGATCTCATGTGAAAGAGTGGTCTTTAGGGAGGAAAAATGAGAGCAGAGAGTGGAGCCCTTTCCCGAACTCAGGAGCTGGTGCACCAGGCTGTGTCCGGGGGGGGGGGGGCATCCAGGGAAAGGACTGATTAGGGGACCCCCTGCCCCTCCCCCCCACCCTGTGCAGGAACCCTCATCTCTCAAAGGCAGGTCTCTGGCTTCTTCCTGGGAGGGAGGCGGGCTGACTGAGGCCCCTGCTGCTGCCGCTTCCTTATCGCCCTGTAGGCCTGCACAGCCCGCTCTCTCTCCTCAGCCACAATCCGCTGTCGGGCCATGGAGGTGGGTGGGGGCTGGGGCACACCGCCAGGGCGCAAAAGCATCGCCAGCATCAGGGATTTCCTGCCGGGCTGAGGACCAGACAGGAGGGGCACAGGGTCAGGAAGGAGGTGACAGCGCCTGGCCCGGAGCTGTTAGGCCCCGTGGGAACCGCACTCCCCGTGGCAGCCAGGGAAGCCCCCCGCCCTCCTCACCTGGCCGGTGCTCATGCTCTTCCTGGGCTGGGCGGTCAGCTCAGGGGGCTGCATGGCGACCTCACCGAACTTCACGGTGTCTAGGGGCAGAGGAGCATGCCTGAGGCCTGCTGCCACCTGAGGCACTGGGTGCCCACCCACCGACCTGGGGGGCACATTGGTGCCGCCGGCCGCACCCCCACCCCCACCCGGCTGACAGCCCCCTCAGGAAGAGCCACCTCGGAGCAGCTCCTGCTCCAGCCTCTCCGCTGCCTTCTCCTGTCTTTTCTTCCGGACTTTGTCCCGCCGCCGCTTCTGGAACCTGGGGGGGAACAACATGGCAGGCTCCCAGCTCATCTCCCTGGACTCAGGAGGCGGTGAGGGTCACCTGCCCTCGAGGGATGCCTGAGGCAGAGCCCCGGCAGCTGCCCCAAGTCCCCGATCCTTCACCACCCACAGCCGTCCACCAGAGAGGCCCTGCACCCCGCCAGCCAACCTGTAAGACCGAGACGCCGGCACCTCCTCTGTACAAACGAGGGACTGAGGCTAATAGGGGTCACTGCTAAGGGCTCTCAAATCTCCTCTGGACAGGAAAGGTGACATTGGGAACAGAACCCTAGTCCTGGTCCAGGGAGAGGCGTGGCACCTGCCGACCAGAGAGGGAACCCCAGGGCTGCGTGTCAGCCTCACCCAGACCCCCACCCACTGCCGATTCCCATGGGGTAGGCATGGTCCTTGGCAGCCAGCAAGCCCTCCTGGGAGGACACTGAGCCTCATCCTTTCTCCAGCTCCCGACAGCAACCAGCCTGGCTGGACAGCGGGCCAGACCTGCGCTGGCTCTTGGTCCCCCTTGATGACTTTCCAGAGAAACACAGAGACAACGCTGGGCCATCAGAACTCCTGGGTCAGAGCCTCCCTGAACCGGTGGTGACCAGGGTTCTCAATTTCTTTCCCTGAATGACGGGGTGGGGTTGCCCCTGGCAACAGAAAACCATCATGGGGCCCCCAAGCCTCTCCAGCCCCCACTCACGCTCTCTTCCCCTCGGACTTCTTCTTGGGAGCCACCTGCGCCTCGGGCTGCTGGTCGGCCTGGTTCTTGCTGAGGAACAGCACGTGCTGGGCCTCCTGCTCCATGCGCTGGATGTAGGCGCCGTCGGACTCCCACTTCTTCTGCTTGAACTTGGGGACCGCGATGTCTGGGTCCACTCCCCTCGCCTCCTTCTCCAGCGTCTTTCTGAAGGCCGCCTGGGCTGCGGGTAAAGGGAGATGAGGCACGAGGGGCCGGGAGGAGTGGTGGTCCCAGTCCGGCTGCCATGCTCACACCCCTCACAAGGCCACAGGAAGGGAACACCAGGCTCAGGAGGGGGCAGCCCAAAAACTGTGGCCGACAGGGATGGACGGTGCCCATGCTGGGGCACCTACAGGGACGGGGTCGCCCAGGCCACTGGCACATGTCGGAGAGCTCAGCTGAGAAAGGAAACAGGAAGCCACCTGATGTCCATCAGTAGGTGGTCCTGAGTGAGTCCCCGTGCTCAGGCATAGGCCTCCCCGCCCTGGTCAGGGGAGAGCACAGGGGACCTCCGCACAGGGGTGTGGACAGGCCATAAAGCCCACTGCACATGGAATGTGTAGAGGGCAGCATGCCCTCGTGTCACACGGACGAGGAGGCACGTGCAGGCGTCTGGAAGGTACGAAGCAGGAGCAGAGACTGTGCCTCATACCCCTCAGAACGGCCTGACTTTACCACATATGTGAGTTTATCCTTCAAAAAGCCCGGGATTTAGGTTAAATTACCCAGCAGCAGTGCTGCAAAATCAGTCCTACATTTGGGAGAACAAACATGTCTACACAAAACAGAAGCTCCATTCCCCGACACGTGCGAAGGGACACCTCTGGCAGAAGCTGATGGAGGGCACTGCCTGGCCTGGGGGAGGGGTGTGATGGGCCAGTTTGTCCGAGTGAGCTTCATCACTGCCCTCCTTACCCCCCGCACCCCGCTGCTCCCCCCATTCTCCCTCACAAGACTCACTGGCTCTTATCGCCACCCTCCCTCCCTCAAAGTACATCTGCACCGACCTCCGTCCGACGGGTCCCCTGCTCCTGGGGGAAGTGAATGCTGCTCACCCCAAGCCCAGGGCTCCCCTGCAGCCTCTTCTGAAACCAGAGGCGGCGGTGGCCCTGGAGACGCCGGCCTCGGGTCAGCCCTCGCCCCGCCCCCTCGGGCCCCGGCAGGCCGTGGCTATTTGGGCAGTGACGCTATTGCCACCCACACGGGCCCGCCCCTTACCCTCTTTCCTCCTCCTCTTGTTACTGACGGCGTTTTTCATTTCCTGGCGGCTCCTCATAATCTCTCGGAGACGGAAAGGGATTTCCTGTTCATCCTGGTTCTTGGGCTTGCAATTCACTCTCTTCTTTTCTTGGCTACTAAGGAGAACACGGTGGTGAGACGTGTCCTACGTCCGGCAGAAGCAGAGTCAGAGAAAACGAAGCTTCGCAGGCCGCCCCGCTGCTGTGGGCACGCGGGCCGAGGCAGCATCCTCCCCCGCAGAATGCTCCGAGCGCCCCAGGGGCCGCCGCGCCCTGGCCTCGCCCAGGATGGCAAGACGGCACCCTGGCCGGTGGCAGTGTCCCCTCTTTCGCGCCTTCACTCGCGGCACGGACAGGGCAGAACGCGAGGGGGCCGGCAGGGGCAGAGACCCACCTCCGCGGCCTGGGCCACGGCGCCGACTGCTTCCCCAGCAGCTGCTGCCGCCGCCCCTGCGGCCGCTCCGGGCCCCCAGGCCTCCCTGTCCTCGGGGGGCCCGCTGCTCGCAGCCTGGCTCCAGCCATCTGCACGCGCCGGGGTCGGAGAGAAGCCACTTCCTCTCTCGCGGGCGGTCCTGCCCCACGACAGCCACTTCCGCTTCCTGCACCAGCCCCACGCTCATTGGGGCGGTGCAGCACCTAGCGGAGTGGCGATTGGCTAAGGTGGTCGCCGCTCACGGCCCGGAAGGGGCGGAGACTGGAGCGCGCGTGCGCAATGGGTCGGGCCGCGAGCGATGCTGCTGCGGTGTGTAGCCGTGGGTGGCCGGGCGGCGGCCTCAGCTTCCCTGTGCTTGGTGAGTACCTGGCGGGGAGGGCGTGGGCGCGGGGCCGGAGCGGCACGGACCGGAGAAATCCCGGCCTCCCCGTTTCCCAGGGACCGCGCTGCAGCCCGCGCCGCCGGCGGGCAGGGCAGCCTTGGACGCGGCCCGTCGTGCTGCTCCTGCTGGGCCCGCTCCCTATCGGCGAGGAGGGCTGCTTTGCTTCTCGGCCGAGCCCCGGGATTGGGCCAGCGGGTTCTGGCTCGTCCACCCGCTCGGCCATATCTAGGAGCGCCTGCTGCATGCGCGCCCTTTGGGGAGGCCGCCGTGAACCGGGAGCTCATGGTCCTCGCAGGAGCTGGAGACATAGTTCGGGCTGAGTCTGTCGGTTCTCCGTGCCCTGGAGAGACGTGGAGCGGGGAGGGGGCCCTGGGGCTGGAGGAGGCAGGTGACCCGGGCCGCCCGGGCTTCTCCTGCGACGGAAACAGGATGACGGGTGATGCGGTCAGTGAGAAGGTCAGAGGGCACGGGCCCTCTGTGCTGGGTGGAGGGAGAGGGGGCTTGGCTGGAGGTGCCGAGCTTCCCCCCACCCTCCATCTGCTGGAATGCATTCCGGTGACAGGCCCTGCAACCCCACTTCGCTTCAGTCGCATCATGTCGTCATGCCAACCATCACATCCGGTTACAGGTGGAAACCGAGTCTAGACTTGTCTAAGGTCACATGGGAAGTGAGGGAGCGGATCAGACTGCGGAGCCTTTGGCCACGGCCCAGAGGCCGAGATTCCCCTGGAGCTGGGGCCGGGCCAGGCCTGACCAGCTCTCTGGACACTCATAGGCTTATTTGCGTTCTTAGGGGCCAGGCCGACTCGCCAGCTGGGAGCGGTGCCGCGGGCTTCCTGGAGGCGGCAGCACTCTGCACAGGTACCCTGCCTGGATCCTGGTCTGCGAAGGCCTTAGAGAGTTCGGGAAGGACCATGGGGAGGAGGGCACCAGGCATCCTAAGTCCTCCCTGCCCGGCGGGAGCACCTCGGAGGCCCTGTACCCCCCGCCACCTGAGCTGCAGCCCCCCACAAACTGCTGCATGAGCGGCTGCCCCAACTGCGTGTGGGTGGACTACGCAGATGCGCTGCTGCAGCACTACCAGGACGGCGGGGAGCGGGCCCTGGCCGCCCTGCAGGAGCACGTGGCCGATGAGAACCTCCAGGCCTTCCTCAGGACGGAGATCCAGCTCCGCATGAGGAGCAGAGACTGAGCGGCCTGGCCGGCAGCTCTCCCCCGGGAGCCCGAGCCCTGCCCAGCAGCACGCGGCCCCTCGGTCCGGCCCCTCTGTCCCGGGCAGCCCCTCTGTCCCGGGCGGCCTCGTGGGGCTTGGGTCGGTGGGAATCGACTTCGCCTGAAAATAAACAAGCTCCCTGCTGCCGAGACGAGAGGCTTTGTGGTCTGAGAGGCTGTTGTGGCCTCGGCGGAGAGCAGGTGTCCTCAGCTGGTCCCCGAGCACCTGCCGCCGCACCAGCCTGTGGGTGAAATAAGACTCCGCCTTGACTATTCAGATGACACTGACCCCAGAGTCCCTTCCATGTCCCGCCTCCCAGGAGTCCTGCCGGAGGTCAGCTGTGGTCGCTCAGCTGTGGGCAGAGGGAGGGCTGTCTGCTCCCAGGAAGGTGCCCTTGGCAGCCCAGAACGTTCCCCGTTCGTCCTTGAGGAGACACCCGGCTGCCAGCCAAGCAGCCGGCTGCCAGCCAGCCTGCAGGGGCCTGAGCACGGAGCCACCGGTCCTTCCAGCTCACCTAGGCCCAGCCACCTGGGCAGGTGGCCAGGGGAGGACTAGGAGGCCGCAGGCATTAACCTGTGAACCAGCGTCCCAACACCGGCCGGGTCCTTGGCTGCAGACCTGGCCCTGAGACCATCGGCCCAAGTGGGACTTTATCTCAGGGCCCTCGTTGCCCATCCCTGTCTTCCCTCATCCGTGTCCATGGGAATTTCCACCTCATCCCCACCCCAGCAATCCCAAGCCCCAATGCTCGTGGCCTGGGCAGGGCGAGGATTAAAAGAATTTATGCCGGTTTATTGCCTCATTGAAGGGAAAAGCTCAGGTGGTAACACGACTTCACGGGGGATTTGAGCTGACAAACAGGCTTCTTTGATGTGAAACCAAAGAAGGGGAATGCTAATTCCTCCTGGGATCCGATGGGGTCTTGTAAGGTGCTGTGTGGGCACCAACGGGGAACGCGGTCCGCCTCCCAGCGCAGAGCCCACAGGGGTCCCCAGGTCTGACCGCTGTGTGGGCACCTGCAGGCGGCAGCGCTCCGGGCCATGAAGGCGGTTTTCTGGAAGCCGGACTGGGCTGCGGTGGGGAGGCCAGGACAGCAGCAGCGTTGTGCTTCGTCTGTGTCTCGAAGAAGAGCTGGTTCAGGAGAGAGTCCTGCCCTGCTCACTGTCCAATCACACTTCCCTCCCTGTCCTGGCCCGTCCCAGCTCCCTAGCTCACCTCCCTTCAGGCCCCTGACCGCACCTGAGCCCCTTCCCGTCCCCTGGTGCCCGCCCCAGCGGCCCCGGCAAGCTCATTAGCGTGGCATCAGGGGACAGTGCTAATCGGCTTACCCGGCAGCAGGATAAATGCCCGCTGACCCTGGTGAGGGAGGCCGCCCTCACACCGATGGCCCCCTGAGACCTGCCCAGTGCCTGGTGAGTAGTGACCTCCCGTGGCCTTTCCTGGCAGCCCCTCACCAAGGGGCGTGGGCGGCTGCTCAGAGGGTGGGGAGCGGGCGGGCGTTTCACCGCCACGCTGAGGCCTGGGTCAGAGGATGCACAGCCAGTCACCTCCTCTGCTCCCCCAAGTCAAGCGAGGTGCAGGCCGCCCCCAGGCCAGTGACTCTCGGGGTCTCACGTGCCCAGTCAACTTGAGGGGCAGCTCAGGCAGCAGTTTCCATGGGAACAGCATCTGCTCCTGGAGCTCCCTCGGGGCACAGAGCTGTCCACGCCAGGCCCGGGGCCCAGGACTGCGGAAAGGACCCGTCCAGGCCTGCTGCCGTCCTCCTGGGACCCTCCTGGGCTGGTTCTGGTCTCAGCACAGAGGCTGAATCTTAGGGAGGGAAGGTCCATGGCGGGGCCACTCCAATCCCAGGCACCCAGCACCCACCACTGAGCCTTCCTTCCCAGCGGGACGACCTGTCCTTGCCTCTCACTTGGTCTCAGCCAGCAGGCGGCTATTGGCAGCCCAAGGCTGGACCCCAGCCTTGCAGCCCGTCAGACTGGGGGCAAAGAGGGGACCCAGGGGACGGCACCTGGGCCTGCGCTGTGGGCACCGCACTCCTGTCGGTCACCTGCTGGGCCCCAGTGGCCGAGGGATTAGCCTCCCTCTGCTGCTAATAGGCTTAGAGGAAGCCGAGCTGCCCTTGTTCTGGGCCAAGGTCACTGGGCTTAGGGCATCGGGGGTGTCTCTGGGGAGAGAAGAGGAGAGGAGGTCACCTGGTCGGTGTTGCACGGACACCAACAGATGACACTGGCGCCCACAGGGAGCTCCAAGCACTGAGCAGCTGGGAAGACACAGCTCAGCGCAGCGTCTCCTGTGAGACCGGCCCCTTCCCTGCCGGCATCCCCACCTTCTCCCGGGTCCCCCTTCATTGGCGCTGCCGGGTGACTAAGACAGCATGCCCCAGCCTCAGCGCGGAGGGGTGCACTCGGGGGCCTCCGGCACTGCATTCCCCTGTGTGGCCCCAGTGCAGCCCTGCGTGCAGGTGGCAGGGGCTGCTGAGGGCTCCCAGGTCTCACCCTTTGGGGTTCCCGCGGGTGGGTTGGAAGCAGGAGGCTGACTGGGTCCCCACCTGGTCTGCCCCCAGCGCCCAGCGTGAGGGAGTCCAGAAGCCCAAGGTCGCCACAGGGTCTCTGCCAGCCTGGCCATGAACCTGGAGCCGCCCAAGGCCGAGATCCGCTCGGCCACCAGGGTGACGGGGGGCCCCGTCACTCCCAGGAAAGGGCCTCCCAAATTTAAGCAGCGGCAAACCAGGCAGTTCAAGAGCAAGCCCCCCAAGAAAGGTGTCCAAGGGTAAGCAGAGCTGGGGAAGGGGCGCCTCTCAAGGGGCTGGAGGGGCCCAGCAGGGAGGCCGGGGTGAGGCTCAGCCATCCTTTGCTGGTGGAGGTGGTCCCATTGTCCTCTAACGGGGTCTGGAGAGCCCGAGCATGGCCTGTCTCCAGCAGGAGGGGAGAGGAGCGGGGGATGGGGGCTCCTGTCACTGTCTCCAGTCGTTATTGCCAAACAGGCCCAGAAAGCGAGTTCACTGTCAACTTGACTCCATCACAGCCACCAGCATGGTCCCCGCACCCACGCACAGCCCACAGGTGCACACCCAAGGCACACCCTACACCAGGGGTCCTCAAACTACGGCCCGCAGGCCACATGCAAATACAAATATTGTATTTGTTCCCGTTTTGTTTTTTTACTTCAAAATAAGATATGTGCAGTGTGCATAGGAATTTGTTCATAGTTTTTTTTAAAACTATAGTCCGGCCCTCCAACGGCCTGAGGGACAGTGAACTGGCCCCCTGTTGAAAAAGTTTGAGGACCCCGTCTAAAGTGTCCCTGCCAGGCTCAGGGCATCAGCAAAATTTCAACCGTTGTTTTTGTTGTTCTCCTTTATTGCTTTGTTTGTTTTTGTACAAAACCTAGTGTGCGTAAAACAACATGCTGCGGGACATGATGCCACTGTGCCAACTCCAGGTATGAATGTATGTCCCTCTCCTCTTCTCTCCTCAGCCTTCCTTCTGGCTTTATCTGATGTGCTCTGAGCTTGACAGGTCTTCCCTGGTCCTGATGGCTTCATCCCTCATGCCTGTCCTGCCCTTGGGGGTCCTGAAGCATTTGAGAAGACATGGGAATCTGTCTGCTCCGCAGCTCTTTAGCCAAGTCCCAGCCAACCTTCCCCTGCCTGGTGCTTGGAGCCCTACACCAGGGGTCCTCAAACTACGGCCCGCAGGCCACATGCAAATACAAATATTGTATTTGTTCCCGTTTTGTTTTTTTACTTCAAAATAAGATATGTGCAGTGTGCATAGGAATTTGTTCATAGTTTTTTTTAAAACTATAGTCCGGCCCTCCAACGGCCTGAGGGACAGTGAACTGGCCCCCTGTTTAAAAAGTTTGAGGACCCCTGCCCTACACTCTACACTCAGGCACCTGCATTCGAGGGCAGACACCCCCCACCCCATTCCACTCTTCATGGCCACCGTCCTGACCGCTGTGCTTGCAGGTTCGGGGACGACATCCCTGGAATGGAAGGCCTGGGGACAGGTAGGACAATGCCGGGTCCCGCCCAGTTCTCCCCACTCACCTGCCACAGCAGGCAGGGTCCAGCCGCCTCTGGCTTCCCCCGGCCAAGGCTCACTTAGGGACGCCCCCAGCCTGTCCTTCATTTTCTCCCCAGCATCAAAGGTGAGGTCCCCCTGAAGTGGGGTCATTTCCACAAGTGGCTTCACCGGGTGCTTGGAGGGGCTGGGAGAGGAGGAGGAGCCCTTGCTGCCCCTCCCTGGGGTCTGCTGCACCCACCGTCTTCCTGGGCGGGGTGTCCACTCGACACCCCCCAAAGCTGATGTGTCCTGGGAGGCGGGTCTTCCCCACTGGAGGTGTGGACAGCGGCCCTTTCTCCGCAGACATCACGGTCATCTGCCCGTGGGAGGCCTTCAACCACCTGGAGCTGCACGAGCTGGCCCAGTATGGCATCATCTAGCCCAGGGGTGGGCGAACTTCGTCTTCCTGGGCGGGGTGTCCACTCGACACCCCCCAAAGCTGATGTGTCCTGGGAGGCGGGTCTTCCCCACTGGAGGTGTGGACAGCGGCCCTTTCTCCGCAGACATCACGGTCATCTGCCCGTGGGAGGCCTTCAACCACCTGGAGCTGCACGAGCTGGCCCAGTATGGCATCATCTAGCCCAGGGGTGGGCGAACTTCCTGACTCGAGGGCCACAGCGGGTTCTTAAACTGGACCGGAGGCCGGAACAAAAGCATGGATGGAGTGTTTGTGTGAACTAATATAAATTCAAAGTAAACATCTACACTAATAAAAGAGAAAATAATTGGCGTGCGTACGACCGCTACCCTTTTCATTGGCTAATCAGGGGGATATGCAAATTAACTGCCAACTCAGATGGCAGTAAGCAACCATGCAGTTGAAGCGAACAGGAGGCTTGCTTGCTCCAGTGATGAAGGAAGCCAAGGTTTACCGCCTGCGCGGACGGGCTCTGAGTTGCATTTTAAGCAACAATTTTGCAATTATAAAAGCTAAACAAAACTCAGATACCCGCTTTCATTAGCAGAGACCTCAGAGCTGGAGACAGCTCTCAGCT